AATTATGAAGCAGAAAAAAAACTTAATAAAAATGTACTTAATTTCTACAACAACAAAAAAATGCTCCTTTCCACTTTCTTGTACGTTTTTCACTATATAGATAATCTGCATGTCTGTGGCTAAACTTGGAAATCAGTTTGGAAATTCTGAAAAATTTTTGTATAGTCAGCATAACTCAAAGTACTTGTTCTTCACATGTATTCATATTAAATAACTCGTAAAAACTATTAATATCATCCTTATCAGTCCACATGAGACAAATTGGCAGAAATTAGCAAGCAAACTTTTGTCTACGAAAATAATATTTGATTCGATAAAAAAGCAAAACCATAATCAAAAATACTACCGAATTACGTTATTAGCAAATTTAATATCTGAAAATGATATCTCTAATGCTATCACATATTCTTATAGGATTACAAAATTATCTTCGTTCATACTACCTTGGGGTATATAAGCACGCGCACTCTATGGGAGTCAATAGTTGAATTTATTTGCCATAATGAAACTTATTTGGGTTCTAGCACTTTTTGCTTTGGCAGGTAAGTGAACTTTTGTAATCCTTTGAACTAATAAACTATTTAAACACTAACACATAATCTTAAATCCTAAATACAACAGCTGCCACAACTGCATTCCCTGAGAATGATGACACTCACATTCATGGTGAGAATGGTTGGTGGGTACCTCAAAAAGATGGTTCCTACGTATGGATGGGCGAAGATGAAGCTGAAGATATGCTAACTCGTATGGAAGCTGAAGAAGAATTCAAAGAACGCTTATCAATCTCCACCTCACCAGTTACTTTCTATTTATACACTGCAAAGAATCCCAAGAAGGGCACCAAAATCACCACTACCACAAAATCCGTGAACAAATCTAATTTCAATGCTGCAAACCCAACCAGATTCGTTATTCACGGCTGGACTCAAAGCTACTTGTCATCCATCAACAGCGATATCCGTCAAGCTTGGTTGAGCCGTGGTGATTACAATGTCATCTTTGTTGATTGGGCACGTGCTCGTTCAGTTGATTATGCCTCATCCGTTTCTGCTGTCAGTGGTGTAGGCAAGAAAGTTGCTGCTATGGTTGATTTCTTGGTTCAAAACTATGGTATGTCACTCGAGACTCTTGATGTCATTGGTCACAGTTTGGGTGCCCACGTTGCTGGTTTCACTGGCAAGAATGTTAAATCCGGTCAAGTCCACACAATTGTTGGTTTGGATCCTGCTTTACCTTTGTTCAGCTACAAAAAACCAAACAAACGTCTTAATTCAGAAGATGGTTTCTATGTTGAATCTATCCAAACTAATGGTGGTCAACTCGGTTTCTTGAAACCAATCGGCAAAGGTGCTTTCTATCCAAATGGTGGTGAAACTCAACCTGGTTGCGTCTTAGATGTTACTGGTGCTTGCTCTCATGGTCGCTCTGTCACATACTACGCCGAAGCTATTCAAATTGATGATTTCGTAACAATGAAGTGCTACGATTATGAGGATGCTGTCGCTAAGAACTGTGGTTCATCATACAGTTCCGTTCGTATGGGTGCCATGACCAATGCCTACATGGTTGAAGGTGATTTCTATGTACCAGTTAACAGCAAATCTCCATATGGTTATGGTAACTAAGTTCCGTTTAAAAAAATAAAATCATTATTTATATAACATATGCAATTTGTTTTCAATGATCTATTATATGAATTTATATAGGAATATAGGTACATATATAGGTAAATATAGGTAAATGAATCAATGCATACATACTTCCAAATGTAGACGAAAGGAATCAGGTTAGGTTAGGTTAGGTTAGGTTAGGTTATACCGGCGATTCCTTGGAGATCCACTTAGGCCTTTTGGCTCATCATGTTACTGTATGGTGAAAAAACCCAGGTTATGTGATTGATCAAGATCAAGGAATCAGATTACTTATTCAACATTTTGTATTTTAGAACTAAATCCTAAAATACACCAATTATCTATAAAAAACTATGACAAAAACGCTAAACTGATAGCTTTCTTCAATATTTTGTTCTTGTCACATATCTCAAACTCTTTTATATAAGTTTTTTCTTCAATTTCCAATGGATCAACTTTTTTTAGCAATAGAGTATACATTTTTATGCAGAAATCTGTTTCGCCCATAGACTTCTGGAGACTCTCATTACAACCTCATGGTAAAGATATATCTACCTGGTTACATTTATGACAATGGAGACTGTGACCATCCAGAGCACACCTTCTTTTACTGTAATAGGTGGCTCACATTTAGACAAGCGATAATAGTCCGAATTAAATCAATAAATCACGAAAACATAGTGAAGAAAATGAATGCGAACCCAAAGAACTGGCGAATGACAGAATCATATGTGATTCACGTTCTCAAAGCAAAGAAATTAGACTTAGTAATAAGAAGTAGAAATCAGAATAATAATTAGATCAGACACCAAAAAGTGCGATGAAAATGTGGAGATCTGGTCGCAGATCAAAAATAAAAAGAGCATGGCTTGCAACACTAATATATAAAAGAACCTTTCCAAAGTAATCCGGAAACGTTACCGAGAGGAACAAGTCGGATGAGGTACAGCTCCGGTCAGTATACTACATATTAACATGTTAGTGAATCAGGCACACTATTCCGATGATGGTTGGCTTGACAGTGCATAAAGCATTCGACATTCTTATCACAAAAAAAGGGGGACATAGCACCGTGAAGTTAAGATCTATTTTAGCCCTCTCATGGACTAACATTATCTCTCTATTATTATTTTCTTAATAAATTTGGTATGGTATTTACATCAGTACAGGACGACTTCCAAAGCAAGCTTTGTGGTCTCTTATTATTCTTTCCAAGGCCTGCAGATTTCATCAAAAGAGATTCTCAGTTTTTATAGGTAAAATTCAACCTACAATTCTAATAGCAGAATTCTAATTGAAATTAAATCATTATATGGATTTAAATTATTATGCTTTTGGAAATTGATTTACAATATTCATATTACAGATATTAATGGATTTACTGTTTGTTAATCTCTAAATGCAGAAACAACATTTTTATAAACAATCAATGACAATAGCTTTATCGCAATCAGCAAACCATGACCATGACGACTTATTAATCACAAAGTATTTATTACACCATTTACTTAAACTTTAATAATGAACAAGGTATCAGCGATATCAAATTATACAAATACGATAAGCTAAATACGATAAGCTACCGGAAAAGATTACCCTGAACTTAGAATAGATTAAATTGTACCGACGATCGAAAAAGTTTCATTTAGGCCTATTGACCTATAAATAACTTAACTTGAACCTCTGGCAATATTCAAAATGCTATGTAATAGAAGATCTTGCTATTGACAAGAAAATTAACAATTTATAAAATATATAATAGTTAAATCTCTAAAAATGGAATTATAAGATAATCTATATTCTTACGATGGAAGTCCTTAACGTGTGATGGAGCAAAGAACCAACAGCGCATTAACAGCGACAATAGATGGGCTTAATCAATTACATTCATCCATTTTTGAAAGTATGGGATGTCATACATATTGAAATACATATTAAAAAAGAATATGGCTTACTCATATACTTGCGTTATATTATAACATGTTGTATAAAATATTGAAAAATTATTGTCAAAATCACTATTTATAGATGTTAGAAGGAATTAATAGTAGCAGGTTATCCATTTTGTAGTTTCGAAAATAAACATAAATAAAACAAACTTGCTTTAGTTCAATATACTTAACATCTTACTATTATGTGTAAAATATGATATTATTCAAAAGTCCTGTACAAGAATTCTAAGTGGGGCATCCCCTTAAAGTAATTTTATCTTATATATCGGTATATATAACCAAAATCAATGATCTTTCGACGGTTGCTCAATTTTGTTTATCGACATATCTATCTAGCAAGATATGGACTACACTGTATATCATACGATTTTTACTGTCTACTTTGGAATGGAGACAATCTGAGAGTAACTCAAAGAAACAAGCACTTTTGTCCTTTATAAGTTGCAGTTTTATATGACTTTTTGTAAAAATATATCAATATGATTTATTTTTTTTACAAATAAATAAACAAATTTTTTATTATTATTATTGATTATTTAAAAAGGATTATTCCTTAACAATTAGTGAAGTAATATTTAACAGAAATTTTATTTATTTGTTCAAAATCCTTATCCATAACTAACTAAGCTTTTCTTGAGTACTGGACTGTGACAATGGATCCATATCAATCATGTTTGAATATGTATACTTCATAGAAAATTTTACATATTTGCATTTAAACTTTTATATAGACCTACTTGAAGTAAATCGCGATTAAAGCACTTAATTTAAATCTCATTGCTTAAGCAATAAAATTTTAACTGATTTTTAATTAACTAAATTATTTAGTGATATGTATATAAAAATATTTACAACTATATATTATATACTATATGAATTTAAACAAATGTATATAGAAATTTAGAGCGTTCTTTAATATTTTGTGATAAACTTGTATATGGATGATTACCACAATATGTATAAATATACATATATATATACAAATATTTATATGTATATAATAAAACATATTAGAAAATAATGAATGACTGATTAATGTTTAAAAATGTGTCTTTATCTAAACAAAAAAATAACCAATGACTGATTAACTTTTTAAAGTGTGCCTGAGAATGTATGAAACGTTAAGACTTCTCTAAACCATGGTGGCATGAACGATGTTATCAATCTTATCAATTTTTTGATAATGATATTCCTATTAATGCCACTTAAAACGTGTCAACCACAAGTATCTCATTGGCTATTTAATGGTTTTAAAACATTTAATATTTATCTATTTTATTTGCTTTTTATTTGTTTTAAAAATTAATTAAAAAGTATACAAACAAAAAGATTATTAGAAAGATTATTATTTAGGCACAACAAAAATGTATTTACACTAATAAAATAAATTAAAATTGGTAAAATTTGCAACAAATATCGCAACAAAAATCTTAAGTTTTTTATAAAAATCAATTAATTGAAATTCCCATATTTGAGGAACGCCAAAATTTTAGTATAAAAGTGAAAGTGTCTCGGTATCAAAATTAGTTATTAAACATAATGAAATTAATTTGGATCTTAGCACTTTTCGCTGTATCAGGTAATAAAATACATATAAAAATAATTTACTAAAATCTCAACAAAAATAATACTCAATAATTGTATCTAGTCTCGGCATATCCTCTCGAGGATGATACACACATCAACGGTGAAAACGGTTGGTATGTGCCACAAATAGATGGTTCCTTTGTTTGGATGGACAAAGAAGAGGCTGAATCCAAATTGGCTGAATTAGAACAACAGGAGACATTAGAAGGACGCGCTCTTACAACTGTACCAGTGAAATACTATTTGTACACCAAATCTAATCAATACACTCCACAAGAAATCACTGCAACCAAAAAATCAATTACTGCCTCTCATTTCAATGGCAAGAACCCAACCAGGTAAATTACTTTTTATAAATTGTGAAAAATTAATATAATTATTAATTGTATGTTAATAGATTCGTTATACATGGTTGGACTCAGAGCTACAATGATCCAATGAACTCCGGTATTCGTGATGCTTGGTTGAGCCATGGAGATCACAATATCATTATTGTTGATTGGGGACGTGCACGTTCTGTTGACTATGCCTCCTCTGTTATAGCTGTACCTGCTACTGGCAAAAAAGTCGGCAGCATGATTGAATATTTGCACAAGAGCCATGGCATGTCTCTAGAAACTTTGGATGTTATTGGTCATAGTTTGGGTGCTCATGTTGCTGGTTATGCAGGTAAAAGTGTAACCTCCGGTGAAGTGCACACCATTGTTGGTTTGGATCCTGCTTTACCTCTATTCAGTTACGACAAGCCAGATAAGCGTCTAAATTCAGAAGATGGTTTCTATGTTGAATCCATTCAAACTGATGGTGGTAAACTTGGTTTCTTGAAACCAATTGGTAAGGGTGCTTTCTATCCAAATGGCGGTAAGTCACAACCAGGTTGTGGTATTGATGCTACTGGTAGCTGTGCACATGGACGTTCCGTTACATACTACATTGAAGCCGTGAAAGAAAATGATTTCCCCACCATGAAGTGCGGTAATTACGAGGAAGCCGTAGCTAAATCATGCGGTAGCTCATACAGTTCCGTACGTATGGGTGCTGTTTCTAACGCATACATGGTTGCTGGAGATTATTACGTACCTGTCAACAGCAAAGCTCCTTTCGGCAAAGCTGCTTAAGTGAATTTCAAACTATTTTATCATTTTTAATAAAGTAATAAACAATAAAACCTTACACAAACCTTTTTTAATTTGTCTTATATAATAATAATAATATTATATTGAGGTATACACTATAAGCACCTTTTCTATAGTAACGCAATTTCAAAGCCCCTATGATTGATGGCAATAAACAATAGTGAATTAAGTGTTCAATAAAATTTATATACATTGATAATTATCTTTGTTTAAATATTACTAAATATATATTTAGAGGCCCTATGCTCCACTGGGAGAAGAGAACTGCAGTAATAGTAGCAATCAATATATTTACATTTTTCTAATACCTATATTAAATTTTCAAATCTTGCATTTTTTAGAAACAAAAGTTTCTAATGTATTCCATATTGATATGTGTTTTCTATATAATAGAAGTATTATCATAATTAATAAATTGTTAATAATAATATGATCAAATTAATAAAATTAATAAAGACACTTTGTCCACAATACATCGATTAAATTTATACTAAATAGAAATTGGAATTATTCTGAAGCAATGATTTTATTCCAGAAGTGATTCGCATTATCATCCACTCAGTACTTATAGAGTGACTTGGCAGTTGATCACTACGTACGAAATAAACTTTCTATTTATGGTATATGAAGATGGTGAAATAAAAATGAAATAAAATTAAGTTAAATTTTATTATTTCCAGAAATTTGATAAATATAATATAATAATCTGCAGGGTTAATCCCGCTGACTTTATTAATAAAATTTGATATGATATTTAAAAATAATATTTCTCAAATTTGTATATTATTGTTACAGTCACTATACTTTTCTAATTAACAAAAAACCAGATTAATACCTGAAAACTATACTGAAAGAGAAACATTGATAATTACCTAAATGATATATCAAAATATATATATATATCTGTAGTAATATGTTTGCTATAATTGTAGGAAATGTAAAGTTACCATATAACACATCTTCAAAGGAATAATAAGAAAATTGAAGAAAAGCTGTAACTCCGAAACAACCTTCTCTTTAAAGACAAATAGACTTAAGTGGCTTGGAAAAAGTTCTACCACGAATACTCTTTAATAATCTTCGCTTTGATTGAAATACACCGTATTAGAAAGAAAATATAAAAGTACCAACTGATTGTTTTAATATAGTCAAATACATATTCATTGAATTGATAAACTTATGATAAACTTAAGGTACTATAGTATAAGATACAAAATTTTGTTCTCCAGGTACACAGATTAACAAAACATCACAGAAAATTTTCCGTTGCTTCAGATTCTACTAAGTAAAGTAAACCTGAAACTAAAAGTAATCTAAACAACTTAAACTTAACTTAATCGCATTAATTTTCAATTTATCTAAAAATAATCTAACACGTTCCATTTATAATATAAAGATAATAAATTATTATATTGTAATTTTCATTGTGTATATACTTTTAGTAGTTGTTAAAAAAATTGTTTACTCACACGAGATTAATTCAATGCTTATCTTTTTAAGAAAACCCATTTTTTCACACTCAAGTATTCCATATTAAAATGCTCCATATTTTCTACAAGAAAAAAGTATACTTTGGATTTTTCAGAGTTCTAACACCCTTTACACTAATAAATAGCAATCCATTATTAAATTTAAGGCAATCAAATTCTTTCCAGTTACTTTCCAATTTTTATTTTCCTAAAATCTTTATGTTCCAGAATGCGTCAAGTGATATTATATATAAACTAATGTGAAGTGCTTAAATTTAGAGAAAGTAGCTACAAAAGAAATTCTCCCATTCAATGAATTGTGGTTTATCGAAGAGAGTTAAGTGAGAGTTAAACCTATCGATATCTTAAGAAGCAGCTGGAGATAGCATTTCATTGTAATTAGTGCCATGTATATTTTGTGGAGTCTCTGATACCTCACTCATCACTTTACTAGTATCTAGTCAAATTTTATATGCCTTTGTTGACAATAGTGTGAAGGGTATAAAACAAGTTTATTCAACTAAACTACTGCTCAAATCAATTTCTAATTTTTAACTAAGATAATAAGATGGAAATTCCTTTCTCTTCCCAATCAATTGCAATTATTTGCCAAAATACGAAGATAACAATCTCTAACTTACTTGCGCAAATAATATTCTATCTACTTCAAGCCTTTAAAACTTTGTTGTTTATACATTTTATCAAAGTGATTTTCAAAACAGATAACAACTTATTTTAATCCAGAATAATGTTAGAAAAACAAAATCAGCTGTTCCAACACAACACTATCTCAAGTACTTAAGTATCGCATAAGCCAACCAATTGTTGTCTTCTTCGTATATAAAAGCCATACGGCAAGAATGTCTTTTAGTTGAAATATTTTCACCTGAAAAATGAAACTTCTTTGGCTGTTGGGCATATTTGCAGTTACTGGTAACATAATAAAATATAAATAACAACAGAAATATTTTAAAAAAAATATCTAAAAAATAGTGTCATCACTTCCTGTTGAGGACACACGCGTTAATGGCGAGAATGGTTGGTATATACCACAAATAGATGGCTCCTTTGTGTGGATGGACAAAGAGGAGGCTTTAACTGCACTTGAACAGATGGAAGAAATTGAAGGACGTTTAACAACTGTTCCAGTTAACTACTACCTGTACACAAAAGCCAACCAATATACACCACAAGAAATCACTGCCACAAAAAAATCAATTGATGCATCCAACTTCAATCCAGCTAATCCAACAAGGTTCATTAATAATAAAATATTCAAGAAGAATAATTATTAAAAACTTTTTAATAACTCTATTAATTATAATAGATTCACCATTCATGGTTGGACTTCAAGTTATAAAGATGGTATGAACAGCGGTATTCGTGATGCCTGGATGAAACATGGTGACTACAATATTATTGCCATTGATTGGGGACGTGCACGCTCTATTGACTACGCTTCATCAGTTTTAGCTGTACCCGCCACTGGCAAAAAAATTGCCGGTATGATCGATTTCTTACATAAAAACTATGGTATGTCCTTGGATACTTTGGAAGTAATTGGTCATAGTTTGGGTGCTCATGTTGCTGGTTTCACTGGCAAAAATGTTGAATCCGGTCAAGTCCACACAATTGTTGGTTTAGATCCTGCTTTACCTTTGTACAGTTTCGATAAACCAAACAAACGTTTAAGCTCTGATGATGCTTTCTATGTTGAATCCATTCAAACCGATGGTGGTCAACTTGGTTTCTTAAAACCCATTGGTAAAGGTGCCTTCTATCCTAATGGTGGTAAATCACAACCTGGTTGTGGTGTTGATTTAACTGGTGGTTGCTCACATGGTCGTTCCGTTACTTATTATGTTGAAGCCGTCAAAGACGATAATTTCCCCACCATGAAGTGTGGTAACTACGAACAAGCTGTTGCTAAATCATGTGGCAGCACTTACAGTACCGTTCGTATGGGTGCTGTTACCAATGCCTACATGGTTGCTGGTGATTATTATGTACCTGTGAATAGCAAGGCTCCATATGGCATGGCTGCTTAAATGTTTATGTTGACACATAATGGAAACTGAGTAAAAATTGACTGATATAAATAAAATTTTGATTATTAAGTTTTGTGTTAATTAATTGTATTGTAGAGACTTTAAGATTTTAGTCTGCTTAGATGGATGCTATTAGTTAAAAAAGGTTTAAAATATCTACTATATCTTGAATTACATGTTTTGGTGATATTTTTAAATAATTCATTTAGGAAACTATAAGAAATTTTTACTAAATAATACTCTATATTAATGTTCTTTTTTTAGACATGCAAAGCAGACATGAAAATTTCCTTAATGATAACTGGTTTATTGGTTAATATTCTTTTTATAATTATTCATATATTTTTATATGAATAATAATTAATATGGTACACTTACAATCAGTTCTTTTACATAGCTATAAAGGGATAGTCAGCTAACCATGCAGGGATGATTTTAGACCTTTTCTAGCAGCTACCATCGTTATAACTCAAATATATGCTATTGTTAGCAAGTGGCAAATCACATAATGATAAGGAAAATATATTTATACAATATATTTTTGTATTTTTTGTGTCAAAGTGCTATATACGTTACAGAAAAAAAAACTTGAATGCTAATGTAATACCTACATTTGCGACTTTTTTAAATGGTGATCTTAGCGATTACAATGGACTGATCCTAGGGGAGAGCTCATTAGTTAAGATAAAATATTATTATATTCTCGAGAGCTATCATCATCACTAAGAACACATGCCACATTTTTTTCTACATTGCTTTATGGTATGAAAGAGTGGAGTTGTTCTATCAATAAGTAAACTTGTATTCCTCAAAACGTTGTTTTATCAACGTATGCTAAAAACCAGTTGGACGAAGCATATATAAATTGGAAAGTATTTTCACGAGGTAACAAAGAAATAGAGACATTAAAGGTCTTAGTCAAATCGTAAGATAACCAGAAAAATACGATCCATTTAGAATGAAATTAATGATGAAATTAAGAAAGGCTCGGCACTGGTATACGAAGGATATCGTGCCTTAAAAAGATTTAAGGCAATGCTTTTAATTAATTCTACTTTAGTAAAAGTACTAGATCACGAATTTAGTACTTGAAAGAAAGTATTATGAAAATAAAATGTTAATAAAAGTAATGCATGTCCCATGGCAATATATTTCTCTACAGTAAATATCTTATTGAAATATAAACTTACTGTGTAAGTAAAAGTATACTTTGACTATATATATAGTGAACTTATTATTACCACCACTGGAGATGACGTTAGCTAGCAATATCGAATACAAGTAACAAATAGTTTAAAGCTTTTTTCAAACTATATATTTTTAATAATCTCATATCTTATTATTATCACTAGCTAGAAATTGCACAAGGCCAGGCTCTGAGAAGACTTTTCAAAGTTCCATGATACATAAGGACGAATGATTCTCAGGGACATCAAGATTGATCCCATCAAAAAAATGAATAAAAAAGGATAGAGACCTGAAATTTTTTGCAAAAACTGATAGACTTACCAACACCGCGTTATCAAATCT